GCACTTGGCGAAGGAACAGTCACTGCCTCTTTTTACGTCTAAGGTTTGACGCAGTGCCGCGAACGAGAATCGACCACGGGCCTCCCGATCAAGAAGCGAACGCTTTACCACTAGGCTACCTTAAACGGTGGTCATGATTTGAACAATTCAGACTCTATATTACCCCAAGATTCACACAAATTTCAGCTTTTCTGGCCCAATGATTTTTGAGAAGAAGATTTTCAAAGATTTTTTCATAAATATTTAATGTAAAACTTGGTATCCCCACTATGACCCGCCCTACTCCAAAGGGTCATAATTTGAACAATTAAGAATGTACACTACCCCAGGATACTTCCACATAAGTTTCAGCTTTTTCTGGCCAAGTGGTTCTTGAGAAGAAGTTTTTTTTCCAATATATTTCTATGTAAAACTTTGATTCCATATTGTGGCCCGCCCTATCCTCTGGGACAATGATTTCTACAATTTAAAATCTACATTACCCCCGGATGCTTCCACACAAGTTTCAGCTTTTTAGCCCAGTGGTTCTTGAGGAGAAAATTTTTAAAGCTATTTTCCCAATACATTTCAATATAAAAATATGGTAAGGTATTGTGGCCCCGCCCTTATCTCGGGGTTAATGATTTAAGCAATCTACACTACCCCAGGATTATTCCACATAAGTTTCAGCTGTCCTGTCCTATTGGTTCTTGAGAAGAAGAGTTTATAATGACCCCACCCTATTTTTGTATTTTCTTGATCATCTCCCCTAGGAAAGGGACTTGACTTGATTTTAACAATTTAAGTTTCCTTTCAACCAATGATTCTTTGTACAAAGTTTGGTTTCAATTGGCCCAGTGGTTCTTGAGAAGAAGTTGAAAATGTGAAAAGTTTACAGACGGACAACGGTGATCAGAAAAGCTCACAGGTGAGCTGAAAAGGTGCCATGGACAAACGAGTTTCATTACTATAAGCGCAATTCGCTGTTATCTGTTAGATAGCATTAACATTCCCGTAATAAACTAATGGAGACTGAAGAGAGATAAAGGAATAATGATTTTATTTGACTTAAAAACTTTTCTATAAGTAATTAAGTCAACGCTATCATCTTTTTTTTTAACTTTCTTATGAAACATTTTCGGGGATTAAAAAATTATATAAAAAAGGATACACACGTTTAATACTACATATAAAAATAATGTCTCTACGAACTGCGTTTTCAAACTCCAAATGGTCTTTTTTTCTTGAATAAGAGATTAACTGTTTAGAAAAAGGAATTCAACTAAGATTATTCTAGAACAGAAATCATTTTAATGTTCAGTCGATTGCAATTTTTTCCTCTTTAAGAAATGGAAAGTGTACCTGAAGTCCGATATATTTGAACTCTTGATCAATTCCGAAGCAGTGCCTAGTGCAAAAAGTGAGATTATTTGTTATCTTAAATCTCTCAAAATCCGGAGGATCAAACACCCTGGTAGAGTAGTCTTGGAAACATCCCAGTCTTTGCCCTAAAAAAAATGGTTACAAGATAAGTAGGTATATATTATTTTGAAGGGAAAAATACTCTTTTTTTTAAAGCCGCTTGGTCCGATTTTAATCGTTAAAATATTTATTTGTTTTTCTTCTTGAAAAATATTTGTCCGTAAATTGTTCCTACTTTCGTCAAATTATATCCCCAACGTCTTTTTCTTTTAAAAGATATCAACATTCAAAAGTTAAGAAAATAAGTTTTGTAATGTTTAACAAAAAATACTCCTATTGTTGATATCGCGTGAAATTCTCCTCGAAAAATTAAATTTATCGCTTTATTGTTTATTTCATGAAGAACAAACCCGAGTATTTTTTTTCTCAACAAAGTACATACATTACCTCCGGGGTCATGCTTTGAACAAATTTGAATCTACACTACCTGAGGATGATTCCACATGAGTTTCATCTTTCCTGGCCCAGTGGTACTTGGAAAGAAGATTTTTTCTATATATTCCTATGTAAAACTTTGATCGGCCATTTTGGCCCTACCCTACCCCGGGGGGTCATGATGTGAAAAAAATTGAATCTACACTACCTGAGAATGATTCCATATGAGTTTCATCTTTCCTGGCCCAGTGGTTCTTGAGAAGAAGATTTTTGAAAAATGCCAATAATTATATCCCCTTGGAAAAGGGCCTGGCCCTTCATTTGAACATAGTTGAATCCCCTTTACCCAAGGATACTTTGTACCAAGTTTGGTGGAAAATCGGCCAAGTGGTTCTTGAGAAGAAGATGAAAATGTGAAAAGTTTATGACAACGACGAAGACAGACGACGGACAAAACTTCGGCTCAGGTGAGCTAAAAATCAGTAATCAATTCAGTGTTTAAATGATGGACTAACAATTGGTATGAAAAACGTCAGTCAGCATTTCATTCAATGATAAATTGTATTTGCTGACAAGGTCATTGTATCGACCATAGAATTTACGAAATGATGACTTTAAACGAGACTGTTGATATTCTTGTTTCATCAACTAGCTTGTCAATATTGTTGTAATAAACTTTTAAATCAATCCTATAATATATTTTTATAGATAATCTACGTAATGAACTTCAAGTACTTTTATTGTGTAAAATATTATGTGCCTGTATCGGGTTAAGCGGCCTGAACATAATTTTTCATCTTAACTTGCAAAAGATTTCTAATTTTCAAAAACCAATGGCTTTTCATAATCGAAACTGTTTAAATTACATAATTAAAAATTTTCGTTAAAAACTGATAGCGTCATTGACAGAAAATGAAGAACATCTTAATAATATACGAGTTGGTATCAAGCAAAACACAAGATCAGGCTCCGGGATCATTAAACAGTCTTAAATTTAAGTCAGAATTCTGTCTTAATTTTAGAATTTAGACTTAGCAAAAATCGCGTACTTAAGTGGATCACAAAATGATCTTAGCAAAAACTTAGTTAAGATTTGACTTAGCAAAAAAAACTTCCCATAAATCTTATTTGTCATAGTAACGAGGAACTCTTCAGTATAAAGGTAGAAAAGCCATTTGTATAGTTAGAGATAAATAAACGTCTCTTTATCATGTTTATATAAAAAATAATACATTGTGTAGTGTGTACCACGTTTGAAGGGACATGGCACCACACCCCTTCGCACAAAACTTAGATCCGCCACTGCAAGGAACTCTTCAATGCGTGAAGGTACAAAACTTTATCGTCTGCTTACATTGAAAACAGACTTAAGATCGATCTTAAAAGCTTAAGACTGCCTATAAGCAGTCTTAAAATTTTAGACAAAATTCCAGTCTTAACTCTAAGTCATTTTTTGTGATCCACTTCAATATCAATCTTAAATTTTAAGTGCAATTTTTTGAGTTAAGTTTGACTTAAGACTTAAGACAGTTTCATGATCCCGGAGCCTGTAATCCGCACTGATGATCTTGTAAATCCTCTGGTACCTACTCCAACAGGACCTTGTTTTATACGTTTTAATCCGAAAAAATTGTCTCTACGTGTCCCTGTTTAATTAAAGCACATTGATACTCTGATAACAGAGATTACTCTGAACGATACAAATGTCTATTATTCCTTTACAAATATGTCAAGTTTAATTGCCTTTTTTTTTTTTATTTTGCCCCGCATGCCATGCTATGATTGTTTTTATTTTATTCAGTATATATACGAGGGTTGTTCGAAAAGTTCGTGGACGATGTCCATCTTCGTTACATTACTCACTGGAAATTTAAAACAAGCACATTATAATATGTAAAAATATTTGTTTTGTTGATGTGTGAACTTTCCGTCCATTCGATTTAGCACAAATAAATTTACTTCATTCTAAAATCATTATGTTTTGTATCCGCGGAGCACACAAAACGGCAATGTAACGTCAACACATAGCGTCGAGAATTATAATAGATACTTTACCTATACATTTCACACAGGATATTCCAATGTCCATTCATTTAATCAATCTTTTTCTAATAGTTGATATTTATTTTTTAAGACTTGATCTCATTGTATAATTTCCTTTGTTAAGGTTTTTAATTTCTTTTAGTGCTTAACTCTGCTTTCAATTACGTTTCAAATTTTAAAGTTTTGTACAGATGTTTACAGTAAAACCGTTTCTTCACAGGTCATCATAATCCGATACAGAGTCTCTGTCAGTCAAATATTGCCTATACTATTTATACACACATGCACAACTTGCTTGTGACATATTTTCTTGATTCCTTCAACATTTTTACAGTTTACTCAGGATTTTTACTGAGAAAAACGCAAAATTGCTTCGGTATCTGCTGCTCCGTGACGTTCTAAAACGTCATCGTTTTTGTTGTTGTCAATAAGGACTATTTACTCTTCTCAAGTTGATTTTTTTTCAACAAAGCTAAATATAAAACCATAATTTGGTACATGTATCGATGTAACAATTCTTAATTTAAATCTCTAGGTAGTTTTTTGTTTTTCCTCCATTTTACAGAGAATATTGCTATAGACAATATTTATTGTATTGTCTGTAACTTACTAAATTTTGACCTGCTCCGCGATCCGATTTTTGCCTTTTTAAAACCTGGATAAGTTTTTTTATCAATCAAAAAATTTTGTCAAAATTATTACATATCATTTGGATTAATTGTTAAAATGTTTCTACCAAGTTTGGATAACATATGACGTCAAATAAAAAAGATATGACAGTTGTCCACGAACTTTTCGAACAACCCTCGTATATATGATTTTGCAAATCATAAAAGTTAAAGGAAAATTTCATATGAGTGAGCAGAGGGTATATGAACCTTAAAGCCGCGGCGTTAATATAAAATTTTACTGCAAGCCTCTAGCGACTGCTAAATTCATTTAAGAGCTTAACAAAACACGAATGTTTCACGTATATGCATAACTTCTTTTCTTTTTTTCTTCATAAAATGCAACTGAACAAATAAAAAAATATAATCAATTTTTAGCATAGCAACTATCGATTTATTGCAGGCACACTTTAAGATTAAAGCTGTTTTCAAATTTACGAGAAAAAAAATTACCATTACAACTCATATCACTGTTCCATTTCCCATTCTTGTTACATATAAAGATTCCACTTCCGTTTTGCTGGTACTCATTAGAACATTTGACATGTATTCGCCTTTCCACACCAATACCGTCCCACCGCTCCACGACGTCTGACGACATCCTACTGGTGAAAGGGATCCCACAATCTGTTATCGGAAAACATTACAAAATTAATGTAAAATTTAAAAAAAAAAGATTTTTTTTTTTAAACGAATTTTTAAGAAAACCTTTCTCTAGAATTGGCTATTTAAACCTAGTAGAATAATTATCAAACATAAAGACCAAGGCTGGCAATGTTTACATATTATGTTGCAAAAGTGTAATGAACAATCAGTTATCAATTTTTCAAAAGAATTCAAGGTAGAAATAAAACAGATAAAATAAATTTTCAATATTTTCAGTAACTTATCGCTACAAAAATATTTAAGGAGAACAAACCTAATATTTGACAGGAAGTGTTACATCCTATCTGGATACATTTTTCATTGATTTCACAGACTTTACTGGAGCACGGCCCTGCTAGTTCCTGTAATAAAATCAGCACATTAATAGGAAGCTTAATCACCAGAGATTTACTGGTTCTTAAGCTTCATGTCTTTTGAGAAAGTGTTATTGCAGAATATAAAAACAAATAGAAAAACATTTAGTTATATGAATTATTAAATGAAATAAACCATCTCTAATTAAAAAAAAATCCATAGAATATATTTGCTTTATTTTTTTCGATGCTATCAGAATGTCTTGTGTTTGCATCTCGGAAAGCAGCATTTTTCGCTGCAACAAAAGGGTAGGATGCTCATTCTTTATTTATTAATTTAAAATTTGTTAAACCAGTCACTATTTGTTATAGCTCTTTTTCTACAATAATCAGAAAAGATTAATAAATAGAGGCAAATATTTGTTAAAAGTGAAACAAAAATATAAATATAAATCCAAGTAATATATTATCTTAAATGACAAATTATGAATGATTGAATGCTGACCCAAAACCGAACAGACTTATATCACAGATCCCATTAAAAAAATGTGTGCAACAAATATATATGAGCAATAAAATGTTGTGTTAATTACAACTGCACATACCTATAAAAATATTTTTCAAATGATATCAACAAATGTTAAATTCATTATACCAATTTCTATGAATTAGTCGTAATGATTTGAAAGTGTTATAACAAGTTTATTGAATTCATCATTCTTTAATTTTTAATTAACTACCGTATATACTCGCCTATAAGTCGGTATTTTGGGCGTTAATTTTTTATCCAAAACTCTATGTCCGACTGAATTAAAGGCGAGTCATTAAATAATTGTTATTTTCTAGAAGGCGAAAAGTAGTATCATATAGGCATATTCGACGATTATCGAAGTCTGGATATACAATGTATATAACTATGTATTTATGCTTAGATTAGGCAAAAAGTACAAGTAATTACATCATAATTCGTTTCATTATTACTTTTTTGTTTAATATATGTTTTAAAATCAAATAGCATAGCCATCTTGAACAATATTATATGAAAGTGAAACCTGGATAAAACACTCTTGTGGATTTTCACGAACTGGTGAACCGAATGTGTCAAAAAATGTACCGACTTTTACGCGGGTCAATGACAAATCCCACAAAAATACGGTCAAATAATACAACCAACTTATAGCAGGGTATACACGGTAACGTCGTTGAAACGATTAAAAAAAACTGTTATAAAAATGTATTTAAATAAATTCTAAATCAAATTAAATTTATTTAATCAACTTTCAAAGTTTGTTATAACGAGTTAAATTCGTTTTATCAAATTCATGAATCAGGGCCTTCAAGACTTCGATTTAATGAATTGTCGTATTCGTTTTAACGATTATGTTTGGTTATAACAAATCATGAAACTCGTTGAAACGAATCCCTTCCGTTTTAAAAAGTTTCAGAATCTGTTAAAACGAGTAAATTGTATCAACAATTTTTTTGAATTTTTTAAAAATGAAATCAACAAATTTGTCATAACAGATTAAATTGCATCTCAAAACAATAAGTTAACAATCCATTAGTTTTTTCAGGCACTACAATTCATATCCGGAAAGTCAATATATTTTGTTCAATATATCCTAGGCACGTCGCTCTTTAGCAGCAATACATGCAACACATTTTCTACGAACATCACGTATGATTAAAATGAATATTTGATGAGGAATGAATAAACGTTATATATACAATCATTAATTGAAGTCAAAGAGAATTTTCTTTTTTCCTGATTTTTATGATTTTCTTTGAAAAGGAATGATTATATGTAGGCGATGAAATATAACAACAATCAATTTCCCATGTGCACATTCTAACTCAGCTACAAATAGATCAGCACCTCCTTTTATGTCTATGGAAGCAAAAAAATTGACAATCCCAAGACGTTCTTTAAATAATCCCAAAAAGCTTTTACGGATTCGCTATTACGCATCACACGCATATCAGCGATGATATAATGTCCCCTCTACATCATTTGCGCGAGGGGCTGATGTTAAAATAAAATGAAACCTCAATCATTCAACTAGCGTTCGAGTTGGGTTATACATGTACTTACTCAATATCGAGTCCTGCGAATTGAAGTACGTTAGGTCGATCACTATTTATTACAATGTAAATTTCGCACCTTTTCACCAGTATTGAAGTCTTTCCAGGACTGTACAGAAATAGTCATACTGAGGCAGTACTGATTGATTGATTGATTGTATACTGTTTTACGTCCCGTTCCAGAATATTTCACTGATATGGAGACGTCAGCATTGCCGGTGAAGGGCTGCAAATTTAGGCCTATGCTCGGCACTCAGGGCCTTTGAGCAGGCAGGGATCTTTATAGTGCCACACCTGCTGTGATACGGGGCCTCGATTTATACGGTCTCATCCGAAGGACCGCCCCATTTAATCGCCTTTTACGACAAGCAAGGGGGTAGTGAGGACCTATTCTAACCCGGATTCCTACGGGATGAAGCAGTACTGAAAGACGGGGTTAAAATAATCTTCCTTCTAGATTTCACAAATTTCAGTTTATAGATTTCTTGATACTGAATTTAATTTTAATCAACATACAAAAAACAAAACTGTGAATAAGTAAACTTCATCTTTTTATTCACTTTAAAATGGAAAATTTAATAATTACTAAGTCTAGAAACCTCTTTGAATTTTCCAAATTTAACGGATCTAGTCCGGATTAATATTATTCCGGAAGTGAACAATGATGTCGATTAATATCATCACGGGTCTTTCCGTCAAGATAAGAATAACAACCTCGGATGTATTAATAATATCGGATCTTAAGATTAAATTGATACATTTTCTGTTTAATTAAATATGAGACAGACGGAGTTTGAAGTCCTTTCTTTAGTATATTTTATCATTTAATTGAATAAAGGTTAACTCAATATTCCAGTTAAATGTCTCCAATCATTTATTTCATGGAACTGGAAAATGTAGGTCTGTTATGGGTTTTACCATATGCATTCGAGGTCGTGTTTCCGCTATAGTCGTAAAGGCCCAAAAATTGCGATTGTGATGCCTATGTGAGAAGAAAGAAAATGCAGATATGACCACTACTCAAGGAAGGAGGAAATCACAGACAAAGCATTAAGCATCATTGTCAAGACAAAAAACTTGCGGTACAGACTGGATACTGTAGTCAGTTTATCTACACACTTACATGACAATGCGCACTCAGAAGGTGTGATGAATCACTTTAATCAAATACAAGCGAATATTCCCCGGTAAATAAATACAAAGTACAAAAATGATTAGACTTTTAGTACTTGTATTTTAATCATGAAACTTAATCAAAACAAAATCTTTAGAAAGAAAGAATTTTTATTTTGCTTTTTATCAACTATAGATCACTTGTTGGTATCCATTGATATACAGTACGACAAAGAACAAAATAACCTGTCCTTGAAGACAAGAAAATGAATAATCTGTCCCAACAAAATTTGTCAGCCCCTTCCCTACCCTCAGCATCAAATGGTCATCCTCTAATGAGATTCAGCATTCACGAAAATCATTTCTTTCTTTCGATAATTGCGTTGGGTCCCTTTTTGTATATGTATTGATTAAGTAAAAAACAAATTTAGTATGTTACCGGTCTTTGTGTTTTTTACGATAACTAAAATCCATATGATTATTTTAATCTACTTTGATTACCAACCGTCTGATATAAACTTCAATAAAATATATATTTATGTCGCTAGTAGATTTGTTTGTTTGTATGTTGTCTAACGTCCCACTTTTTCATTCATATGTGGACGCCACCACTTACCGGTGGAGAACTGCAGTGGGATTCGAACCTGCGACATAATGATCAACTCTTGACTTCGCTTCTCTTAAGCAGACGTTCTAACCACAGTTACGGATCCAAATCTGTATTCCTGTGTCGAAAAAGTAAAATATAGATTTTTCTTGGTCTTTTGAGAAAGACTACACCCTTCAGTGGAATTGAGTAAAGGACTTTATTCGGTTATACAGTAACCAATTTTTGCCCTCCAAATCAAACTTCGACGGAGACATTTTTTATTATGTTCTAAAACAAGTGGATATATGCCGACTTCGTAGCACTGAATATTTTCATCAGCACGAAAACGACGTAAATTAAAATTTTTCATTATTTAAGAAATAAGGTATCATTTTTAAACATCTATAATGAGATTATAAGGGCTTTATTATGAATTTAATCTCGTACCAACCAATATTTATAGCCCGATAGATGTTTTAAAATGATACCTTAGTATTACTTGTATTTAAATTTGTGACTTATTCATACTTTATATTTGCCGACTGTGACTTTAATCAGGTGAAATGCGATATTTGTCAAACCCAACGGCATGTATGTAATCCACTGAACGCGCGTCGACCCTTAATGACGTTACAGAGAAATTATGTCGAATGTTTTTATGTTCTAAACGAACATCTATGAACTCTTTACCCTGTACCTGTAATTATACAGTTATAGATACGCATTGCTTCCAGTAGTGTTATATATAGCAAAACATTTGCAAATGTAAATATTTCTACAGAAAAATATATATATTACATCGATATTTTCAGAGAAAATCACCGAGCGCAGCTCTAATCATGCTCAATTTTTGATATAACATGCAGAATGATAATATTAATGAAATACATAAATATTGTTCCTGAGCAAACTTGCCTTCTATAAATTCTATAGCTAAAATTGTTGAAATTCTGTCCATTGTCTTTTTTCTAAAAAAATATAAATCAATAAACTATTTTGAAACTAATATGTTCTGTTTAAACAATAGTTTTATGCAATTTATGGAATTCGGCACTTTTCAAAAATATTTCAAAATTTGACTTTTGTTGGGGCAAGTATATGCAATATACCGCATATAACGTTTAAAAAAAAATATTTTGAAGACCTGATTATATTGCATTTACGTATATTGAATCAAAGCAGATGTCGTGTTCAAAAAGAGCAATTTCCATCAAAAAGCATTAAATGTTGGAGTGACAGCACTGAAAAAACAATTCATCTCCGAATGTTGGCATAACCAATATGTGACATAATCTTAAATACATATCTTATACTTATACAAGATAATGAAGTGTGTGTTATAGTCTTACCAATATATATAAAGTATACCCTACCTTGTCCCAGTCCTGTCTTTCGCTGTAGATCCATCCTTCATTCTCTACAAATTTCCCTGGTACACTGGTCTTGTTTTCATAATTAAGTTCACAGTAGTTTGCTCCTTTATAATAATTAAGTGAGTAACATCGAGTAGTCCGGAGACATTCTCCCACACAGTCTAGAATACTGTACTCGACGAAGGAGTCTATCATGGGCCTATCCAGTCTAAATCCATAGTGTAACTTAGAATACCCCGAAGTTAAGTTTCCAATTGACTTGTAAGGTATGCCTAAGAAAATAAGCAAGTATAAGACACATGCCCGATCGGCCATCTGTGCCCGAGCCAGCATTCTTCTCGTATGATGCCAGTTAATGATATAGCGATAAAAAGATGATATCAGAAAGTTGTGTATATTTAATGCATTACATATATTCCGCTCTCGTTTCAACTAGCTACCTGACTTCTTTTCAAAAGAATTCAAATAGAAATATACTTCGATTTTTTATATATTACATTTAATTGCTTCCTGTGAAAGTGTCAATTATAACGACTGGAAAAAATCGATGTTTAGAATCGTTATACATTTTTTTATCAATTCTACCTAAGATACTGGGGAAAAGTCAATTAAATGACTTTTTATTGACATGATTTTAAATGATTTTTTTTTAAAAATAGTTAAATGAGCTTTGGTACGAATTCTCATTAGTTATTTATTATTTACAACTCGGCATGACAATCAGAAACAGTGAAAACAGAATATCATTCCGATTAGATATAAAGGGAATTCAATATTTCTTACTGTCGCACGCGGGCCGATTGGTCGCCACACGAAAGGAAAACAAGGACTAAGTTCTTTACATTCATCACATTTATTAAGCCTAATACATAATTAAAAGTTGTGGATCTGTATGCTGTTTGGCTTCCTGATCCAATATGGGTTCTTAGAAGAGATGTAAAGTCTGGTAAAATATATAACTAGATAAGAATAGTACTAAAATTTTCGAGAAGTACTTCTGCTCTACTCAAATACTACACCCAAACTGAGATTTAAACCCGCCAAGTAAACTGTACTGAACAGATAAAATATTATAGAACACAGTTATGGCATTTTAATACTGTAGAAATACATTTTTCCGCGTGGTATTAATTTATGCTATGTACGCGGTCAGAAATAATTTTCAGCGGAAATTTCTCCAAGCGTACTTTATATAACTTTAAAGCAAATTGTGACAGTTTAAGGTCCGTGGAGTTATGACCCCGTGGAAAAAAAGTACGTCTACAGTAAGTTATTCACATAGCGGAAACGTGTATGTTAAAATATATGGAGCAATGTGTGGACGTTAATTGTGACACACTTCCACTATTAAAAGAAGTACGAATTACTTTTACAGTTCAACAATTAACGTATGAAGTGAAAGGAGTTTTCTTATATACATTTGTTTTTTCCTTTTTCCATTAAGATAAATAATAGAAACACTCTTCTTATAGTATACTCATTACTGACTGACACAGATTCACTCCTGTCGACTCAAATAATCAGCTCCAACGTTTTCCTTTCCCCTTTTTGCAATAATATGAAATCTGTAGGGCGGATGAATTATTGCCCAACCCAAAAGTCTGGAATTCTCAAGTTTAGTTCTTATTAGATACACCAATGGATAACGACCGGTCTCCAACACAAACTCCTTACCATAGAGATATCGGTAGAATTTCTAAACCGCCCAGAAATAAAATTTGCTGAAACAATACTGATTAGAAAGTTTTTATTTATTTTTTGATACATTAAAAACAAATGGCAAACACTTGTTACGACCCCCTAGTCAAAGATTCTATGATTATAGTTTTTGTCCTGTTCTTGAGTTTGTATGTCTGCCTGTTTATATGTATTTGTCTGTCGGTTCTTAAAACTAGAACCTTTCCCATAATTTTAAGTGGATGGGACTATGGCTTTTATATCTCACAGGTGTATTATTTGTGTCAACACTTTGCTTTGGGTACCACCAAATGTGACCTCGTGACCTTGAATACTGACCCACGTTTACCAGCAATTTTCAAACTTTAACCATAGCCATAATTCTGAATGGTTGGTGCTACAGCTTCCAACTTGACCTTACAATCCGATCCCTTTCAAAATATTTTAATCAAAACCATAAGCTTTGTACCGTTAATACATCAAAACAATATATTCAAACCAAACCGTTAATACTAGTGTTTCCATGTGGCACGGGTGTATTTATTGTGACTAGACATTATTTAAATACCAAGATTATTGACCTTTTAACCTTGACCTATAAGTTTGTTCAACCAACTTTGTTATACCTCTTTTGAAAATACTGCAATTTGATTGGCTTGTTAGAAGGCTTTTAAACTCATCAAAGAATCCAAATAGTATTGCTCACAGCAATATTGATCTAAAAATTCAGATCTACAGAAAATATTAGAAAAGAGTCGGTGTTAACACTAAACAATGTATTTTTAGGTGTTTAAATTTTCCCAGACTGTTTTAATCCCAAACTTAGAAAAAAAGAAAGAATCTTGTAAAGTTTTTAAGAATAGGGAACTGTATTCAAGAACGTCAATGTTACAAGTATAAGATACGGGGTATAAACACATTTTTCACATATAGAAAGTCGATATTGTTAACAATGTTGAGTTTTATTTGGCGAATAAAATTTTTAAGACTGTGTTGACCGAGACAAAAAAAAATGGGAAAAAGAAACGTACAGCATAAAGACGTGATAAGAGCTGCAGATTTTGAAAAACTCTACACATCGGGGACCGTCAGTATAAAGGGTTCCTGTGTAATGAAAATGGACATCGTTCTTCAAACTGATTTAAATGGCAGGCGATTTTACATAAACATTGTCAAGCAGGAGACAAAAAAAAATCAGAGCGGCCAGATGTTGGTGAGTTCTAATGGGAGAATTAATGAAATGTCAGGTATAGTATTATGATATGTTATGGTAGTCAAATAAATATTTTGCTTTTAAAAGTAGAAATTATCAATTTTCCTAGAAAATGATCAATTGTCCTAGAAAACCATCAATTTTCCTAGACAATTATCAATTTTCCTAAAAAATCATCAAGATTTGACAATTTTAATTTGGTTTTCTGTTTTTTTTTCATTCAGGAAAGTCAAAATACCCGGTTTAAACCTTGGAGAAATATTTCTAGAAAATTTTCAAGAATGCGACAGAAGTTTAAAGACCATGATAGCTTTTGGAACGATAATATACCAGTTTGACATAATACACATGGAGTTTCATGAAAACCGTTTCACTAAAAGTTCAACTGCTGCACTTCTATACAAATCATTTCATCCGTGCCACCTGCTTAAAGAAAGGTGTTGAAGCTTGTCACGTCATGTTGAAGCTTGATTTCTCTAATATTTCAAATTATGAAGATCAACAGGTGAATCATCTCCAATTAGTATCTGAAATTATTAATACCTTTCCTGAACAGAGAAGGAAAATAACTCTGATATTTCCGCTCGAAGTGTGCCGTGTATTTCCTGTGGGCCATTATTTTCCCATGTCAATCAGGTCAATATCCACAATCATTTGAATGACAAAGCTTGAAAAAATGAAATTTCTTTTTTTTGAATTCATGTTCTAGAATTAAATTTCTAAGACAATTTAGCGGCATAAAATTTTAGAATTGTGTATGGTCTGTCTTGTCCGCTATAAAGTCATCATTTTGTAAGTTCTTTGGTCGATACAATGACATTGTCAACAAATACATTTTATCATTGAGTCAAATGCTGACTGATGTTTGTCATAGTAATTGTTAGTCCATTATTTATACAATGATTTAGGACGTTTTTTTTTTTTTTTACATTTCCCAATCATGACAAGGAGCAAACGATGACCGGTCAGCAAGGAATTCTCACTCCTCAGTGGCACCTGATCCCACCACTTATGTTTCGGAGGTGTTTATTTGCTCTGCTCCTATTTTGTATTGTTTTATGGACTTTGATATTGTATACTGTTCGTTATCTTCATATCCTTTTATACAAAACCAGGTCAATCAGGTACACGATGACCTGACCTCGGCATCTATACGAGTTAAACATTCTCGAGAGGGACGTTAAACAATATACAATCAGTCCACGAAAGACGATAACAGATGTATAGTAAAAAGATATAGAATATAAAGTCTTAGTATTAATTGTGCATGTGTTGGAGATTTATTGAGAACAAACGACACATGATACAAACTGATGATCTACGTAAGGTGGACATGGTAAGCTACCACATACCGTCCTGATCGGATAAAGAGTTCGCCCATTATCAACATGACTGCGAGTTCCCTCAAAGAAATCTGGATTTTCATCCAATCAAACATATTCAGATTGATAATTCTATGCATCTGTGCCGATCAAAATGCCAGAGAATTCTTTCTTCCAACCAGTGGTAGTTTGTGACGTCACTTGGCAAACAGCACATGGCACGTCATCATCACATGCAATTTTACGAAAACTGAATTGATATTCACTTTCCCAAAGTGTCCTTTCTTCATCTGAAAAAGGATGAGTCGGAAGGTCGGACGGCACAGGTTCTGGATCGTAGTGTGATGACGCCACTGCCTTTTTAATAATAAGCCTTTCCACCGGTAATCCCTACAAACATTTTATATTTCCTTTTATTTCTTAGGTGATATTTATAAGTTTAATCAACAACAAATATTGGCTATCATAAGTCCAAACAGACGATGCAAACAATAAAGGAACTTCGATATATCCCCTGGAATTTTTAAACGTTGATGAGGTTCCGTGAAGGAATAAGCATTTATGCTAATCGGTCACAGTCATCATGAACCTTAATCTTTTGATTGGGTAAAGGCACCTATATTTGTATTTAAAATTGTACGAGCCTTGATCCAAAGGATAAGTCACATATCTTTTAATTTGTGGTCATATTATTAAATAAAATAGGTTTATGTACTGTTAGTTAATCCTCATATTTCATATAAAATAAGGAGATTGACAGATTCGAAATTGTGAACTTTTATAGAAAAAGTGTATTTTTTTTACTTTTTGGGTAAAGAACTAACTTTTGAATGTTCCTTAAAGACTAGGGTGGAAATCCGATCCACTAATTTACATATTGGTACGAAAGTAAAGGAAGTTATGTTTAAAGGACAAATAATGGTATAAAATTTACACACAAAGAAGAAAAAAATATCAAAATTTTTATTTACTAGCTGAAGAGCCGTAGGATGTAAAGAAAAAGATAACTGTTGCCATCTACCGATTGACGTACCCAGCAGAAATAAGATATTGGAATCTTTTTGGTGTTGGGAAATGTACAGTACATCAAGTGTGTGGGGCCATTATAAAATATCCTCTTG